GGGGCGCTGCCGTGATAACGACATTAATGGCATGGTGATATAAATAGTCGGAGGTGGGTAGGGGCAACTATGATGGCATGGTGAAATTGGGGTCGGAGGTGGGGGAGGTGGGGTGATAGCTGTGATGATGACACTAGTGGTATTGGCAGGAGGTGACACCCACCCCCGATCTGACACCGCCCTCGCCCCCTCCGCCACACACCCCTTCGCGATGCCACCCACATAGGTGGATACTGCAGGGGGTAGTTGTGATGACAACATGAGTAGCATTGTGGTAGATGTGATGACGACAATAATGACATAGAGGTGACGAGGGTTGACTGAGGCGGGCCAGCCCCCAATCCCTTAACCCCTCCTCTTGCCATCCCACAACCCACCCCACCCATGGTCCTTATCCCGACACCTACTACGCCACCCACATGAGTGAGTGGTGGCGGTGAGTGTTAACTGTAACAACGACAACAATAGTGGCATGATGGTCAGTGGTGGGTTAGGGGTCGGATGTGTGGTGGTTGTGACAACGACAATAGTAGTATGTAGGGGGTTAGGGATTGGGCCGTGACAATGATAGTCGTAGCATGGTTATGGTAGGGGCAGGGGGTGTTGCTGTTGGTTAAATTGAATACAAATGGATGAAATTCAATTCATTCACTTATGCCAAGGAACGATAAATTCATTTAATTATGGAATTCAAAAGATTCCTACATTTTTCGATATGTGAATCAAACAAAAGATTTGAAATTTGGTTAAAGGAATTGATCGTTACAACTTGAAATCCTCTAAATTCCACGAACCCAACAGCCTTGACGTCCGGTCCTTATGGAATACAATCTTTATTTTTATCTCTTTATTATTTGTTAGGAATTGTGCGCAAGTGCATAACTCTTACTTATATGTGTGTGCTAACAGACGTCTCAAGTATAATTCATTCAAGAGCACTTCATATTAGGCTACGTACCCATTGTACATATCCCATTTCTCAGTTCATGAACAATGTATAACGTCACTATAAGAAACAGGGTCTATAGAATAATAAAAGATAATAAAAATATATATATGCAAACCACTCAATTTGTACAAACCGTGCAAATCGTTCTCATCCATCGATTTCATTGTTTAATCTTATGAAATTTTTTCATGAAATTATTTAATCTTGTGAAATTGTTTCATGAAATTATTTAATCTTGTGAAATTGTTTCATATAATATTTTCTTTGATAAAGTTGTTCATATATGGTTATAAAATTGTTTCATATAATACTTAATGAAATTTTAATGAAACTATTTCATGCATTTCTCTATAATTAAAAACAATGAAGATCATAATATCCATGATTAACATTTTCCACAATAAAAATGATTAATCAACCTCTCATAATTACAAAAAAAATGAATAAAATAAAAAATTATAATTGGTTGAATGAGGTTTGTACGAGTTGTACAAATAACGTGGTGTGCAAAATAAACATCATATATATAGGGTTGGGTTCACGTGAGACCAACCTGTTTTCGTGAGACCCGTGAGACCATATTTTTACACGTAACCTTCACAGCAAAAACACTGTGAATGTTTTAAAAAGTCACCTTCACAACATTTTGTTGTGAAGTTTCAAGTGTAAAATGTTGGTCTCACAGGTCTCACGAAAACAGGCTGGTCTCACATGATCCCAAGTCATATATATATATATATATATATTTATATATATATATAGAGAGAGAGAGAGAGTTTGTTTCAAATACAACCCGTCGCATTTGTACAACTAATGCAACCCAATAAATTGTAATATTTATGGAAATGATGAGAGTTCATTTATTATGATTTGAATATTTATGGAAGATGAATATGATTCATTAATTATGATCAATACTTTATATTATGAAACAATCAAAACTTCTATGAAATCACATATTAATTAAATGAAATGGACGGTTAAGATTGAGTTATATTGATTACACAAATGTCAAAGATTGTATAATAACCAACCTATATATATATATGATAAAAAAATAATAATAAATAAAACAAAGTAATTAAAAGAATGTAGGTTTGTTTATGAATTATATATGATTTTGGGAGAAACGATAAAAAGTAATAATAATGCAAATACCCACCACAAGAATGTTGACAATAACTACAAAATAATTGTATCTCTAAATGTGATCACATGCAAATAATGACCTGTCTTCACAATAACCAGACCCCACTTTCATCAACATCATCCATCTACTTGCATGCCTTTCCGAGACATTTCACAACACTTGATGTATGTGTCATTCATTATTACCAATTATTGTACATGTATATCATAATTTCATATTTGATTATAAAATAATTACATATTTTATTTTTATAACTATATGAGATGTATTTTTTACAGGTCCATTTTTGACATTTTATAGATATTAGGCGAACGTAAAAACAGACTCATTGCAATAAACAAAACTTTTAGCAACGACTTTTGTCGTCGCTTATAAAAGTCCATTTATCATCAGAAAGATTATATAACATGTCGTTGCTATAACTTGTGATGGAAACATATCATTGCTAAAAGGCGCATCGTCAAAGCTTAATTTTCTTGTAGTGACCCTCGATAAGTACGAAAAAAATTCAATAAATGTTTTTAATTAGTATAAAAATGAATACAAGAAATGCTACTAATTTATCGAGGAAGGAAATATTATTTTTCTTTATTATAGATATATAAGAGAGTACTTAAACTTACGTACTTCTTATTAGGTAATTTGAAACCAAGAGTATCAACTATGGTTGATAAATTTTTATAAAAAGTAAGAATTTTTTTACTTCATAATAAGAAATATATGTTATTTTGATACAGAAAGAGAATTCGTGTGAATGAAATAATCGTGAGGGTAAATGAGAGATCAATATTAAAAAAGATTATCAATGTTTTCTAGACAAGTAGACAAATGAGGATCAATAATAATATGAAAGAAAAGATGATCCATTGAGATCCAATAAAAATAAATAAAGAATTAAACATATAATATGCAAGCTCAACAAATGATTGTTTGAGCACTTAAATAGAATTTTGTGTTGTGATGGAATTCCAATGAAAGATACATAAGTCAAACAATTGATGAAAATATTTAAATTCTATTTTTCTTCTTTTTTTGCTTAACTAAAATAAGATGTTAAGATTAAAAGTTTATGAAACATGACATATATAAGAGACATTACTAAATACATTTAGTAGAAAAAATTTATTGATTGATCACAAAACCATGAAACACGTCATAAATTATAAGAACAATAGATTGATTGTCAAACAATAGTAAAATATTTTATGTAGAAACAAAAATAGATAACAATAGTCAACAAAAACAATTAGAACAACATAACCAAATAGTAATAGTCAATAGAAGTATAAATTGATAAAAATATCCAACAAATATATATAGCAATAGCAAACATATGATCTTAACGTTGAATTGTTGAAATATGAAAATATTCAAGCATATAGAGATATCAATAACCAATATCATTAGACATTGTTGGAGATAAAAAATTAGAGACGTAATGAACAATAACATATAATGAATGACCAATTAAACTTTTTTAGTTTCTTCTACAATGTAATTAGTTGATATATTTTTGGGGCCTTGTTATCTACTAAATTCTTTGTGTCTTTTATTATATGTTATAATTTTTTGGGTTTCTTTAATTTATTAAATTCTTTTAGACTACTATTGTATTTTAAGAAAAAAAATTGTACTCTATGCGTCCGTGCCACCCTCCCAGAAATGACCCTTATTTTTTATTTAGTATTTTTTTATCAAAATATTAATTCCATTAAATATCTTATCTCACATCAATATATTCTCTAATCAGCTATTTTTGTTAGTAGGAATATATATATATATATATATATATATATGTATGCATAAATATATATTTGATAAATTTTTAAAAATTAAATTAGTCATTTTCATATTTCCTTTCTCATATAAATGGCACTAAACATCAAGCAAACTTGGCCTCTTTTGTTGGAAAGGTTTATTCTTCATAAATTATTTTATCGATATAATTAAATAAATTGATCTGTTAATTACTATATATCTGCTATCTATACTATATTATAAACCATTTGACGAAAACTCTTAAAAACTATTTTTTATACATGAGGTACTGTTTATTGGTGCATATTACTTAAATTCAAGATTACAAGCAAATTATGCATAAGTACAACTTATTAAAGCATCGTGTTTGAATTCGTATAACTAACTGTAAATAAACATAATCAAATAAAGGATAAACATCTCATTTTGAATATAAAAAAATTAAAATATAATTAGGATAATCATCAAATTCTAATAGAATACTTAATTATCATATTAAAAAAATAACTTATTTAAACCAAAAATATATTAATTCGTTATTAAACTTCAATTAAATTATAATTAAAAATTAAATTAATAAAATTACATAAAAACGAGAACTTTTAAATAGTTAATTTGATAATAATATCGATTATATTTTTAAAAAATTTATAACATCTTCAAGTTTATGTTTATTTAAGAATAAAAACATTTTTTTTTCTTAAAACCACATAAAATCGTATTATAACATCGATAAACTAAAAATATAAAACAAAACATAAAAATCAAGATGTATCTCGTTGTATTGCGCGAATAGCCTTCTAGTTTTACATATCTTATTATGATATACCGATAAAATTTACTATTTCAATATTTAAAATTGGTAAATTCTTAGAACAAATTAAAGGATACAAAAAAATCTCCATTGACCAAATACCCTTGAAAATACTCGAGTTTATTATTGTAAATTTTGTAACCTCTGATTGATTTATTATAAGATATTTAAAATAATAAAAAATATATTTAATGGGGCCAAGAGAAAGCCAGTTCAAATACCAAAAATATGGGCGCCCATGATTACATATATACCCCAATTTTCTCATCAATAGGTCTGTTTAATTCTTAAATTGATTTGCTAGTTTCCCAGCGATCTCCGGTTCTTCGATGTTCCCGCCAAAAAATGAATCCGGCGTTGAAAAAGCATGCCGTAACATGCCGGAGAATGTGATAGTCGCCGTGAAGGCTGAGGAGAAGGTTGTCTCCAAAGCAGCTTTGGCTTGGGCTCTTACTCATGTCGTTCATCCCGGTGATTGTGTTATCTTGCTTGCTGTATTTCATGGCGTCAAATCAAGTAATTTATATTTTTGTTTTTTGCTTCAACTACTGTATATGTTTCGATTGATCAGGATCTAAGTTTGTGGTTGAGTTTGTAATTCGTAGATCGGAAATTATGGAGCTGGCGGCGATTGAATGGAGATTGCCGGAACGGTGACGACTGTGCTAATTTACCAGATCGGATATGTCGGATCTCAGAAACTTGTTCACGGATGGTACTCCAATTTCAAAATCAATTCGAGGTAAACAGTTATGAACTTTTTTTTTGTTAAATCTAATTTAGATATATAGCATATAAGCATTTTTCCCTACCGAAATTAGATCTACAATCTCTCGTTTTTAGCGTGGTGATCCGCAAGAGTTGGATGAAGAAATTTATTTAATCGGTTTAATAAAGGCCCAAAAATATAAATAGGACAACGTTATATATCCTACCACACATGCACACGTACTTGATGTCTGCAACCACGAGTTTGTTTCGTTAAATATACGCATACATACACGTATATGTGTACATACATATATGTGTATACATAGATGTATAAGTTAATTGAAGATTTCTCCTTGTTCCTATGCTCGTGTGCCTTTTGTGCATACCAGATAAATTATTTGTATACACATGTATATACCAAACAAATTATTTGTATACACACGTGCATACCTGTACACATGAATGGTTATTAAATCGTTCCTCAGTTTTTCATTTTTGTACGGGTTTACGTCACCTGTCTTATGCATTATATAAATAAATAGAGGGAGTTTCAAATACAAAAAATGTAATTGTTACAAACCCTACAAACCTAATCTCAAAATTTATTTTGTTTATTTTTAAATGTAGAGACTGTGATCAAAAGCGGACGAGAGTAATTTAGGACCCGATTTAATTCACATTGTTGATTGTCTACATATATTGTTAAGCTCGGTTTGTAAAGTTTGTAAAAATTACATGGTTTGTGTTTAAAACTTCCTTTACATGAATATATGTATACATATAAGATGTGGGGTGAGTTCAAAAGAAAACACCACAATTTTACGTATATGTGAGTCTGTAGTTCATCAATGTGCTACTAAATTTGAGACACGGATAAACTTTGGCGCTACCTAGGTCGCGGACCAAGTCGTCCGCACATAGCGCACACCATCAAGTCCCCTCATGTATATTGTCACATGCAATATGGATGTACTCATATTTTTTTGTAAAGATGTGGTGTCCTAGTTTAATCCTACCCATGTAAAATGTATATATACATACATATATACATGATACAAGTATGTATATATGTATATAATTATATGTCAATTTGATTTTCAAGTGTTCAATGATTTTATTAATATATGGTAATACAGAAGCAAACTAGATTTTATCCGGTTGATGATCGAGAAACACACAACAAAACGGGACAAATAATATATTGTTGAATAGTAATTTTTGACGATTACAATTGTCGAAAATAGTAGGTTTGAGAAATCTTCATAATTAATTAAATGCTAAGAAAACACTAAAGTAACTACCTAAAATAGCATATGCTCATAATAAATCTCAGAACTCATGTGATTTGATTGCCAAGTCAAATAATGAACCTACCCCCTCTTATATCATCATTATATGAATGATAATGTGAGTGGGGAGGGGTATGAAGTGTGAGTAGTATATGTGAGTAAGGAGGGATATGAAATGTGAGTAAGGTGGTTATTAATAGCAATCCCTAAATGAAAATTACCAAAATTACAGAAATTGAGGCCTTAAACAATGAAAATTGATCAAGGGTGCATAATAGTGGTCGGGTTACCGGTACAACCTAGATTTGTAGAAAGTCAAGGATTCAAATCTCACCAAATGTGAGGTGTGTGCATGTATTTGTCGCATATAACTATTATATACAAAAAACAATGAAATTTGGCTACGAAAGAGGGATGAAGCATCTTCTTTTGCTGAAAGTTATAGTCATTTGAAGTTGACAAATCCCCCTTTTCGAAAGTTAGTCATTTGAGTTGAGGCATCCTTCCACATTTGAATATGTCAACCACATCATGTATAATCCATACTACGTGTAACAAAGTGGTTGTAATATGTTTTAATTTGACAATAGTCGCTAGATTTTGGGACTCAAAAGTACATGGAAAGCAATATAGTATCCAAGACTAGCAAGTACCAATGTAGATGGTCATAACCCGAATTATATAGCACAGACCTAACCAACAAGTGAATTTAGCCTCCATGAAGAACTGTACAGTGGCATCTCAAACACAAATGTTAAATTATCAAATACGGGAAACAAATGAGCGATAACGACGGATCTCTTGGTGCTCAACATCCATTATGGGAGCATTTTAAGTAAAACGACAGCAACATATTCCTAGTTGGTGCTCGTCATCCATATATGGTAGCAATCGGAGCGACAAGGATGGGAACATTGACATGTCGGAGCTCGGCATCCATAATTCTATGGTAACAACAAAAAATATACAAAGGGAACTAAAACCTAACACTAATCTGAAACTAAAACAGAAAATCAGAGAACTAACAAGCAAAATTGAAGATGTTCTCTTAAGCATTATATCAAACAGTTGGTGTGTTAGGCCGAACATTACCCGAATTCAAGGCATTCATAAACCGTTCCGGCTATGATCTGATACCATGTTATGATGCCTTATGTTGTCGAGTTTGTTACTGCTGGATATTGGAAGAACATGTGTGATGTTTTCATTTCTTCTTACATATGCCCACTTAAAGTTTTGATATTTAGCTTTACCATTTGTAACATTAAGTGGCCTTTTACCAAACAGTTAAAATTTTCGGCCATCAAAATAGATTGTTAATAAGCGTGTTTTATTCGGTAAGCGCTTACCAGGTAAGAGTCTAAGATTCTTGGTCCTTGCAATGCCTCTTAACGGATAGGATTCATGGTTCTTACGAAGCTCACTCGGCAAGGTAAATGACACCCAATAAACGCTTACTTGATTAGGGTTTGGTAAACGGCCTCTAAATCATCTTTATAATTTAAATAGTTAAATCTATATCTTTTCTCAAGTGTAGGTGATGGTGCAAATCAAGGTGGTCTCAGGTACACCTGCGGGTGCTGTGGCAGCTCAAGCAAAGTATAATGCAGCAAACTGGGTCATATTGGATAAGTTAATACAAGTAAAACTATTACCTCATTATATTTCTCTCCAACTCTTATCTTTTTTCTCAAAGTTAAGAGTCCCCTTTTGACTTATAATCATCATTTTGGTTTGGTTTTTATTCTTGTAATTTTGTAACTTGAATCAGGAAATTGAAACAAGAACTTAAACACTGCATGGAGGCACTACAGTGCAACATTGTAGTAATGAAAGGTTCAGAACCAAAAGTCCTTAGGCTCAATCTCGGTCGATCTCATGACCTCCAATCTCCCTTCTTTTCAGCAGTTTCTTCACCTAGTATGGCTCCTGAAAAACACTTGGGCCATGGAGTGAATCATTCCACGCCCGTAAGCAGTCCAGAAGAAACCGCCATGTTTTGTCCACAATCTTCTGATAAAAGTCTTTTGTCAAACTCCGACACCTCTTCTCTTTTCCTTGTGTACAAACAAAACCCGCTTTTTGAAGGGCTGATCAAAGGAAAACCTTTACAAATCAATAAACCCAAAGACTTTGATGATGATCCACTTACCGTGATCGACTCTTGTGGGGAAAGAATCATAGCTCTCTCACTGATTCCAAATTCATCTGCTAAGAGTACCAGTAACACAGTTCTATTGGTGCCTCAAAACAACATTGCAAATGAGAATTCCAAGATTCTTCACAGTTCCCAACTTTCATATGCTCATTTAGATCAAGATAAACTGAGCGGCGAGCTTAAAGACAACATTTTTAGCTCTGGAATCCGAGAGGCGGTCTCTTTGGGTAGAGCTTTATCACTACCACCTCCCTTGTGCTCTCTTTGTCAACACCAAGCACCTGCACTTGTGAAACCTTTGCGACAATTTTATTACAGTGAGCTTCAAGAAGCCACAGATGGTTTCTCTGATTTGAGCTTTGTGGCACAAGGGGAGTTATGGGTTGTCTACAGAGGGGTCTTAAAAGATGGGCTAGTCGTCGCAATCAAGCAGTCGACGTTTTCTGGATCCCATGGAGATGCTGATTTCTGCAAGGAGGTGAGAGTACTAAGTTGTGCACAACATAAAAATGTCGTCTTACTAGTTGGCTTTTGCATAGAGGGCAATCGAAGACTATTAGTTTATGAGTATGTATGCAATGGCTCCGTGGACAGTCATTTACACGGTATATATATCTATATATCCTGTTCTTTTCCTAATTTATGGCTCAAAAGTCCTTATATCAGGCACATTATACTTTGTGGATTCAACTTAAAAGAATGTCATGTTTCTTTGAATTGTATAACAGAGAGCCAGAGAACGTATCTGGACTGGCCATTGCGTCTGAAGATAGCAATTGGAACAGCAACAGGATTACGGTATCTTCATGAAGATTGTAGGGTGGGTTGCATTGTTCACCGAGACATGCGGCCTAAAAACATCCTACTGACCCATGATTACGAGCCTTTGGTAACTCAAACTCATTACATCTTCGAAGTCATATAACTTTGTATAACTATAAACACTTGAAACATACATTACGACCCGTTTTTATTATCTAATTTACTGATATGTATTTTTGTCGATGATCTAGGTTGCTGACTTTGGGCTTGTTAGCTTACACACTGAACAGGATACATGTGATGAAGAACGAGTCATCGGAACTTCAGGGTACATCTAACATCTATTTTTCTTTTTTCTGGCTATCATGTGAAATGTCTTTTTTTTAACCCTGGGTATTATGGCCATCTTGCTCACACCTTGCTCATATTGGACTCAAACTGATGAACAATGAGGGCATCTTCAATGGGTTGGGTCTTGGATTGGTACATTGCCAAATGAGCTTAGAAAAAACCGGTTTATACCATTATGAGACCAACAAAAGTGTGGACCGGTTCCAACAACACTTTTTGTAGGCCCCAAAGCCATTTCAGTAAATAATTAATATATGAATTATGGATCAGTTCATGGTTAGGGAGAGAAGGTTTATAACATGATTGGAGATGCTCAAGAAGTTTTGTTACTGTCTTTTGATGCTCTACAGCCATGAAAACAAAAAATAATCGTTGTCTTTTCATAAAAATCTAATTCATATTAAAAGATTAATAATATGATGATGGTAGAAATATGTGGAACCCATCAGATTTACTTTCTAAAAAGGTACTTGAGGAGTGAAAAGATGTTCTGAGAAGATGTTCCAACATATGCGGTAGTAAAATGGTCAAAGACTTGTAAACGTGAGACTAACAATGATGATAACAATATAAGCAAAGAACAGGACTATAATATCAATTATCATGCTATCTTGTATCTTCTCTACTTTTTCCTTTTCGTTCAATGATTTAATCAACACACATATTTCTGTTTGTTTAAATGTAAGATGATGCCTATATTTCAGGTATCTTGCACCAGAATACTTCAATGGAGGAATGATAACAGAGAAAGTTGACATATATGCTTTTGGATTGGTACTGTTGGAGCTAATCACGGGACGAAGAACCAGTGAATTACAATGCTACAAAGCGCGCAACTTTTGGCACGACATTTACGCATCACATGAAACGGAACCTATACATCTTCTAGCTTATAAGCATAAATTGCTCGACACCCGCTTAGGCTCTTATCAACCTTGCAATTTTCCTCCCGACTTACATGCTATTGGTAATGCTGCTTCTTTGTGTCTTCAAAAAGATCCAGAACTCAGACCACCCATGTCAAAGGTTTCTTATCCAACTTTATTTACTTCTCGGATAATCTATAATGTTTACTTTGTGGTTGTCATACATGACCTTTAGACTTATTGTTTTCTTGATCTTAAAAACTGTTAGGTGCTTAAAGTATTGGAAGGAGAAAGAAGGAATTACTTGGGTGTAGAGTTGGACAATGGTGGTAACAGAAGTGGGCACATGCGAGCTGTTATCCTCAATGCACAAATCGAAAGGAGGGGGCACTATCGCAGACTATCCTACTGAAATGGCTTGGCAATTTCCTTTAATTTACTTGTTACTAGAAGAAAATGATCGAATTACATGTGATATTACACTAACATCATGTATAAAATCACATGTGATTCACACGACTTTGGTCCGCGACCTAAAGACGCGGCCAAAGTTGTCCGCATATCTTTTTTGACAGTTAATGTAAAATTATATGTGATTTTGCACGTGATTTGGCCGTCTTCATATTCCCTTTAAATAGTTAAATAGTTAAGAGTTCTTGTTTGATCCTCCTCCGCCTCTCTCTATATATCATTCTTTTCGTTAGCTTTCTTCTTTTTTCATTCTTTCCACATACATTCCATGATACAAATCCAAGTTCGATTGAGAATTCTACAAATACATATAAAGATGTAGAGAGAATTTGTTCAGACAGAACACACCAAACTGTTCTTAGAATGTCTCAAAGAAATAAAATATCAAACAGGTTCTAAACCCTATAGCATATATATATATATATATATATATATATATATATATATATATATATATATAAAATCTATCTATGGAGGTTCAGACAGGAACATTATCTAAATAAAAGAACACTAAAATGGTTAAATTATGTGCAAAATCACATTTGATTTTAACATTAACGGCCAATACAAAGGTGTGCAGGCGACGTGACCTGCACCTCACCTCAGGTCGTGCTAAAGTCACGTAAATCACATGACATGTGATTCGACCGTTTTCTTATTCTCTTATTTGGTTAGTATTCTTGTATGAACTTGACTCTCTCTCTCTCTCCCTCTCTCTCTCTCTCTCTCTATATATATATATATATGTAGGGGATGGTTCAAATAAGAAAGACAAATGTGAATAATCATATATGAATCATTATTAGAAGGAAATATGGGTTATCATATGCATCTTCATATGTAAATAATCGTTACAAAGGTAGGTAAACAAACGTGTGTTCACATATGCATTTTCAAATGAATATTTTTTTGAGTTCACCACTAATTCAAATATGAGTCATTTATTCCTATGTTTTTACCATTTTTGTTATTCATTTGAACCTTATTCTCTCTTTCTATATATAAATATATATGTAGAGAGAGAAGTTAAACAATTTGGAAGAAGGCGAGAAGTTTCAATATTATATATGATTATACTTCTTTGGGTGTATCCAATCATATATGATTAAGTGTTTGTGTGTTGTCAATGTAACATATATCTAATAATATACGATTAAGCATGCATATTATATGTGTAATCATATATGATATTGAAACTTTTAGCTTTCTCGCAAATTGTTTAACTTCTCGTGTATATATATATGTGTGTGTGTCTGTGTTATGATATCATGTTGAACTTGGTTAGAGTGTACACCTTGAACTACTATCATCTTATAACAAGTGATAATGGCATTAAGTACTAGATATCATTCTCACATAAAAGACTTTTAAAGTTCTTTAAAAGTGCGGTCTTACAAAACTAACTTTAGATGGTGAATTCAAGGGATTTGTTTCTATCTAAAATTTGAGTGGTTTGATTAGCAATTAAAAAAATATCAGTTGTAAAAAGAAGCACATGGTGCAAAGGTTGATTAAGACACAAAATAAATGATCTTGCAAAAGGTAATAAAGCATTCTTGCAACAATCCTATAGTAGTACAGGATAATATTATGTATTATCACAATATCAACTATCGGGTCAAATGGCCTCCTAAGAGTACAACAGGCTGGCATGCTATCGATATGATATCATTTATGTTAGACGTCATGTATCCTAATACGACACAGTGTTACCATCCTACACCGTATGAGTCTAGTACTTGTCAGGTACTAAAACTATTTATAGTCGTCTCCTATTGCATCAGGTTTTCTCATTTATCTTAACTTGAAGTTAATGCATTTTCATATATAAAGTAGTTGTCAATTAATAATATGTAATATTCAATGAAACAATAATCACCTGAAATAAATAATTAGATAAAATGCTATAAGACACTTTTATACTTTCACATCGGTTTAGGTATTAATTTTCCTTTACACCCCAAGTTAAGGCTTTTAGTCCATCATCGTTCGGTTTTTTCTTATAAATGATGTAAAGAATGAAATTTAAATAATAGAAATGTAAATTGCATAAATATAAAGAACATAACTTAAAGAACATGAAATTAAATGACTGAAAAATTAATTACCAAAAAGTAAATTATAAGTAAATAAATTGCATGAAGTAAAATACTCGAAATTAAATTGCACCAAAGTAACTTGCAAGAAATTAAAGTACTAAAAAGTACATGACATAAAATGAAAAAGGTAAAAGTACTTGCAATAAATGAAGTAAAGTGAGTGGAAACTTGTTTTTCAAGTTACGAAACTTGCAAAACAAGTTTTGCCACAAAATGAGAAGGATTACTAGTAAGAACTTAAAAAACTATTTTTCTTAACTACGAGAAACTAATCTCGATCCACAAAAGATTATAAATCTTATGTATTGCAACGGGAATAGATTAGCTATAAACGATTATCGAAAATTAAAGTAAACTTGGAAAGAATTCAAGATGAAGCAGTAAACAATTCTTCAAACAAACAAACTTCGATCAATAACTTGCAAACCAGAATTAGATCAAAAAATACTTAGAAATAAAATCTAGAAAGTGATTAGAGTGAATACCAAAAGGTTAGGTGTGTTTTTAAGCTTACAAAGCACACATATTTATACTAGTAATTAACCTTGGGCTATGAGTAACAAAAGTATAAGATGACATAAGACCTTAGTGTATTTTTAACAAGCCTTAGATAGGTCCAAAACAGTAAAACCCGGCTGCTAGTGAAAATCGGCCTAGCGGATCTTTATAAGCCCACTATTTAGTCCTACAGTACTGCCATAATTTTGAAATCAGCAGCCAATGATTCCTCTAGGAAGCTGTAGTATTATCCAAATCTACAAAAGTTAATTTCAAAGCACAATTTAGATAAAATTTATACTATATTCATAATATTTCAACAAAACATTAAATATTATAAAACTAATATAAAGAGACTAAATTGCACATGTTGAGCAAATAAAATAACATAAAAAGGTAAGATTATAGATGTAATCGGGTTAGTAAATTAAAACTTATCAAACCCTTATACTTAAATTGTTGCTTGTCCCTAAGCAATCAAAATGACGAAATAAAGACTCAAGTGACTATTAAGCTAAATGTTTTTTGAACTTGTTCACCAAACTTAGCCAATGTGAGTGTTTTGATTTTCTTTAAAGAAATTATCTTTTCTTACTTGGAAAATGATTTCCATAGCCTTTCATAAACTAAACTCCCATAAACTTGAATTCATAAATGTGCCAAACTAAGAGATAGCCTACATTTTGCTTGAACTAGATTCATCAAAAGTATGGGAATTGGAGTGAGTTTTGCATTTGGCTTTTCTGTTCAATGCATTTGCCTTTTACCTCTTCTCAGTTTCACTCCATGGTGCAATTTTACCACCATGCTTCTCATATTGAGGTACAAAATTGGACACTTTAGTGCACTTTTGGCAATATGCATCTCTTACATGTGTTCTACAATGTTTGAGTGTATGATGGGTGTTTAAGGAAATTCCCCCAAACTAGAGGATTTCAATGTCCTCATTGAAAGTGTTGGCAATAAGTGTGGTCTAAATGAAATGAGGGCCCAAAAATGAATCTAGATGGAATTATTAGCCCAAAAATGATTGATCTAGTGGTCCATCTAAGAACTAAGTGGAAGAGCTACTGATTATTGTGGTTATGGAATCATGTCAAACAATGCAAGAACAAATATGTGCTAAATTTATTTGTGCAAACATGACAGTGATGGCAACAAGTTCATAAAATCAATTCCCATTGAAACATAAAAGCAAAGATAAGAATGGGAGGTTTAACTCACATTATCTCATTTTGGCTTAAAGAAAATGGAAAGAAATGACTCAAGACTTATTAGAAACAGAGACCTAATCATTATATACAAAACAACAAACTAAAACAGTAAAAGGACTCAAAATTTTAGACAATGTAAGGAAAGGACTCAAGCATCACACAATACCATATGACTCAATAACTACAAAGTATTGGCCTAAATACTATAGAGATAAAACAACAAAAGAAGAAACAGAAACAACATATTCTAAAAACAAAAAGTGGCCAAAATGGACTCAAGTTATGTTAAGCAAGAACATAGACATAGGACCCAAGACAAATTAAACCAGAAAATTACTACAAATGAGGAGGGTATGATCAATCAATATAGACAAAAGCAGTAATTAAGACGAAAAAAAAAATCATGGCAAAACAACAAATAAGAAAAGAAAAACTAATATGTTAAAACAACAAATTGCAACACAAACCCAATACCCAAACACATTCTTGAAGACTACGTCAAGGTATAAAAATTAAAATTAAAGGGAGATTGACAGTTGCTGTCCTACTCAGATTGAGTAGGAGAGTGTGTGAGTTGTTGTAGGCTTGTGCTTCCCTTCCTTGACTGCACCTTTTTTTCTTTTTCTTTATAAGTTCCTTCTTGAGGTGGTTGATCTCAATTTGTGTCACTTCCATCTTTCCCATCAGTCTTCTTCATCATGATTCTCTTAAGAATTGCAGTCATTGCATCTAGCAGCTCAGTCTTGAGTTGTTCCAAGGACTCATTCATAGGAGGCATAATCTTGGGTGGGTTGTTGCCTTGCCTCATCAATCTATCCAGATTCTTTTTTTCCATAATGGTTTTCTCATTACAAAAGGAATCTATGGAGAAGTAACCTTAGCTTTGGTCATGAGGTTGTGAATGATTGAGGGGTATAGTAGCCGGCCATTGACCCTATCTACACACCCCTTTATGTCACCATATATGATCCTTCCAATATCAAATGGGTGATTTTCCAGAATGCAATATAACATAAATACCCTCTCCATACAAATATTAGTGTCATGACAGGTTTTAAGGGTTCTATACCTGCCCTTAAAATTCCATACTTCTCCTTATGTGCAAGCCTATCCAAGATGGTATCTAACTCCTCACTAGTAACATTAGCTTACATTCTATCAAACTTAGAATCTTCAGGTGGTGTTAGGCCAAGCAACTCATTAATGGCCTTAGGGGAGTAAGAGACCTTAGTTGGTCTAACCTTTAGGTCTACCTTATTGCTCACAACCACCTTTGTATAAAAATCCCTACGCCAGCTAATATTGTAATCCCCAGGCCCTTACAAAGTTTTATCCAACCAAGGGAATCAATCACAACTTTTAATGAGGGGGATTGGCTAAAATG